TTTCCTCGACAATTGGGCCTCCCTCTCAGGGCCAATCCTGCAAAATAGTACTGGGACTTTCTAAGCCTGTTTCCTAGAGTCGTTTTCAAGGTGAATGCAGTTTGCCTTGTAAAACCGAGTTTGGGCGAAGGCCCTCCTGTATCTCTTGGTAGGCTTGTTACCCAAACGCAAAAACTCTGTGTTCCCCACAAGGTAGATGGAGGACACCTTCTACACACATTCGGATCCCAGAATGGACCATGTGTATGAGCAGTAGTCGTTCAGCCTGCATCAAGATGAAGGGAATCTAGAAACACATACCGCCATTTCTCAGCCTGTTTCCTAGAGCCGGTTTCAAAATAAAGGCAGTTTGCCTTCTAAAATAGAGTTGAGTTTCTCTGCCCTGGGGGCTTGGGACCCGTGACTGTGAGAGGAGAGTCCTCACTTTGTTACTATTAATGATAGCTAGCAGTAGCTGCCTGCCGCCCGCCCCCCACCCTTGCTGCACACCGGGCACTGAGCTAGGGCGTTCATGCACGTTACCTCATCCGATCCTGTGACAGCTGTCTGAGATAGGTACTCATGTGTTTGTTCTCCATGTTTCATTTGAGGAAAAGAAGGCCTGGAGGGGTTAAGTGACTTGCTACAGGTCCCCCAGCCAAGCGGAAGAGCTGGGGTTTGAATGCAGGTCTCCCTTATCTTAGGAAAATAGCAGAGCCGTGGACAAACAAGCCGAATCTGGAGCTCTGGCAAACAAATTCACCTCAGCGTTCCCGCCTCTGGGCGGTCAGTCTCCTTCCCTGAGACAACATTCTTTGCCAAATAAGACTTGATTCCAACTTGGAGGGGAGGACGTTTATAAACACACACAAACGCTTCCTGGAATTGTTCAGTTCACCAGCTCGGGGGTCCAGGGGTGCTTATTGCAATTACTACCTGCGTTGCTTCACCTCACTCTTCTCCCCACTTGTCTCCAATTCACGTTCCAGGGCCCCCTCCTCCAGGCAGGCAGCAGAGCTCCTGCTGCAAGGGGAGGCAGCCTCTCTCTGTTCCTTGTCAGCACGCCCCACTCCTCCCAGCCTGGATTGGCACCTTGCCCTGTGTCCTCCTGGGAGATGGTCTCCTGCCAGCTGTCACACAGCCCAAACCCCATCAACCTTCCCTGCATGTCACGTTTGGTTCTAACAGCCCCATTTCGGTATTTCCCCAGTTTTGTCCATACATGGCTTGCCATTCATTTGGGGCCCACACAGTTCTGCTGCTACTAAAATAGCCTCCTTCTAGCCCTGCAATGGGGCTGAGGAGGTACTTTCATGAGAAAGGTCTGCAGAGCCACATCTCTGCCTCCCCACAAAGCTCTTCCTTTTTGGAATCAAAGTCCCTGTCATCAGTCTCCTCCCCCAGGTACCAGACATTGAGGTCACAATGCTGCCTCGCGCATGCCCACCCCTGGCCCTTGGACACCTTCCTGACCATCCCAGGTCCCCTTATAGGCTCTAGAGCCAGGCAAAACTGGGTCCTGGATCTCCCAAGTTTAGCTGAGTGACCTTGGACAAATCACAGAACCTCTCTGAGCCTCCGGTTCTTATCTGTAAGGTGAGAGTGAGTCACACCTACAACTTAAGTTTGTGTAAGGAAAGTGCAAGCATGAGGGCTGGCTCCTGCCAACCACTGGGCGTCATAGTATCGCCCTTATATTCTGACTTGTCCCCAGAAGACACAGAGAGACTCCCCTCCCAGTGGCACCTTGCTGGGCCGTGCACTGGGCACCCCTGAGCTGCACCTGCCCCAGAACTGCTGTAGTTCACAGGTGTTTGTCTAAAGTCTGCCCCTTCTCACAGCCAAGGATGGGACAGCCAGCCAGGGAGCCAAGGACGCCTGTGGACAGGACTTCACCTGGGACACTGCTGTGATTTACTCATGGTTTCACCCTTAACTCTCATGGCAGGTGTGGAGAAACATGGCAGGACCAGAGCTGGCCGGCCCTGTCCTCCATGGAAGCTGAGGTTGGGCTGAGACCCTCAAGAACACGGCCACACATCTGGGTCATAACACCCTCCCCTTGTTCCATCGGTGGGTTTTAGATGAAGGAGCAGTGACTGCAGCCTCACTGGGGATTTAAGAAGGCCACCTGAACATATCCCACCTGGGGCTCTTTAGAGATACTATTTCCCTCTGCCTGAACCCTCTGCCAGGCACATTCATATGTGCACACACGTGCACATACACACACACACACAGGGCCTGCACCAAGTAAACCACTACTCCCTCCCTTAAGTCTTACCTAAAAATTCAGTTCCCCAGGGCATCACACAGCACCCGGCAAATGGTAGGCCCCGGCCTGCTTTCCCCTGACATGTGCTGGGTGTTAATACGGGCCCGACCCGTCACGGGGTGGTGAGCAGTGTAGAAAAATGATAGGCCAGGAATGCCACGCCCGGGACATTCTAACCCCGAGCTGGCTGGTACCTGGCCTCGCCCACCTGTGCAGCGCCCACGGTCAGTTCAAGGTTGCCAGCGTCCTGTTCCTTCTCATCTGAATTCCTCAGACCTGGACCCTAGGTGAGGCACCTGCTCTACTACAAAACTTTTTGGTGCATAAAGCACTAGAGAAATCCCCAAAGACTGTTTTGACGACATCAAAATGTGAAACTTCTGAAGGTTAAATAAACAATAAGCAGAGTTAGAGGGAATCACAATCTGGGGGAAATATTTGCCACTAGTGTAAAGCATAAAAGATATCAGAGATATGAAAGTTCAACCAGTCTTTATTGAGGGTGAGCATTCTCTGGGCACTGGGGTAAAGGACTGGAGGCTGGAGTAGCCGCTGAGTAGGTTGTCTGTGTGTGAACTGCACTCCTGGAGGTGTGGTGGTGAAAGGGCCTGGATGGAGGCCGGTCAGAGGGATCCGCATCCTGGGAGAGCTCCAGAGGGGCAGAGCGAGGCACACAGGAGGGGCTGAGAGGGATGGTGTGGCTGGACCACAGAAAGCAAAGGGACAAGGCCAGGACGCAAGGGTGGGGATGTTGGCTGGGCCACACCACCCCGGGCCTGGTGGTCCTTTTCTTGTTTAATTTTTTATACTTTATTCTAAGAGCCATGGGAAACCATGGGTGGATTTTAAGCAGGGGCCACAAGGTTGAATTTGCCTTTTCCAAGCTCACTCTGGCTGGTAAATCAAAGAATGGTTGAGAGGCGGGTAGGGCTAGATGTGGGAACTGATAGGACGTGTGGCTATTGTACAAGGTCAGGTGAGAGACAGTGAGGGCTTGGGGTGGGAGGTGACACAACTTTCAGATGACTGGACGCGTCAACAGCCTGACGATGATGCTGCGAGAGACCAGAGCCAGAGTCGCCCCTCTGAGCCACTCCCAGATCCCAACCCTCGAAACACTCTTGAGATAATAAATATTTGTTATTTTAAACTGCTAAGTTTGGGGGTAATTTTTAATGCAGCAATAGATAACAAATACACTCATGGCTTGTTTTAATCAATCTTTTCATGTAGCAAATATTCATTGAGCAACTACTTACTCAAAAGAGAAATCATACTTAAGAAACTTTTTAGGTAAAAGGCGGAGGCTACCAAGTAGTACGCAGAATATAATCTGATTTTTGTTAAAGTGTGTGTTTGTGCACACATGGTAGATGTTTAAAAGGATATTTACATACCACAATGTTTATTACTTTCTGCTTTAAATTTTCCTGTGTTGTCTGAGTTTCTTTATAGGAGCATGTAAAACCTTTATAAGCAGGTAAAAACAATGCTGTGATTTCCATTTGGGGAAACAAAAGCATCTTAACGTACCCTCCTAGGAGAGCTGGAAGGCAGTGTGTTCAAACTCAGTGTTTCACATGCTCTGAACCACGTGCCAGTTGCCTGCAGGATCTGTTAAAATGCTGAGCCGATTCAGTGGGTTTCTGGTGGGGCCTGAGATCCAGTATTTTCCTAATAAGCTCTCGGGTTAAGAAGAGGTAGCTGGCCCAAGGACTAGACTCTTGAGTAGCCAGGCTCTAAAGCAACCCTGAATTTAGAGCTCAGGGCTGTGGGATTGAATCCTGACTATCCTAAGGTGTAGTTCAGCCTTGGGAAAAACACATAACTGACCTGGTCTTTGTTTCCTTTTTTAAGGAAGGAGGTAGACTAGATCTGTCATTGTTAAGACTCTGTCCTTTGATGCTGAATCCTCGCTTACTGCTGAAATGGCCCTAAGCCAGCTTTGCAAGCCATAATACCCACCTCTTCATGTGAGATGTGTTGCTGGCCTCTGTGGGGTACGCACCCAGAGTCTCCTCACCAGCAGGAAGGAAAAAGAGTCCCTGCTGGTCTGTGTGTCTCTGTGTCCCTGCAGTCCCTCTTCCTTCCAGGTGATGGCAGCAGAGGAAAAGGAGTCCCAGAGGGCAGCGGCCAGGCACCCAAGCGGGACAAGTGGGCATTTATTTGTACATGTTCTTTCAAAAGATTACAAGATGAACTGTGCCAGTTCAAATTCACGTGCTTTATTTGTTTAGGATTCGGGCTCCAGGTTTTTGTTCCAGAAAGATTTGAAGCATTATTCTAAGTGGAAGAATTCAGGATTAAAAATAGAAACCATGCAGAACTTTTACCTGGCACCTGAGCTGCACGTGGGCAATGAATGTGGAGGACGCGGCCACGTGCTAGCCAGCCTGAGCACCGCCAGGCTCCGGCTGAGAGCTGGGGATTATTTTTGCGTCCTAGCCTGATAATCATGGTGGTTGTCCCCCCATTTCACATATGTGGAAACAGATTCAGGGAGGCCAGCACTGTGACCCCTGTCCCTTGGCTTGTTAAGTGGCAGAGCCAAGACCCTTCCCATACATCCCTCTGCCTCCTTTGGGTGACACAACTTTCTTTATTTTCTGGCCCATTTTCATTTTCTACCTACCTTTGCAGAGAGAAGGGTTTTGTTGCTTTGTTTCCTTGAGATTAAATCTATCAAAATGTAGGAAATTGACCCGAGCCCACAGTGTTGTCCATGACAGTTGTTCAGGTGCAGTCTGTGTCACGGCTGGATGTGAACTAAGTTACATCAAAGGCTGACGGCAGCAGGGAAACTGTGAGGTCACTGAGACTGAGAAACTGGTTCAGTCCTGTTGTTTCCTGATGATTTCCTCCACTGCAGTCACCCTGGTCTCCTCAACGTTCCTCCAACACTCCACACGTGCTCCGATCTCTGGGCTTTGGCACCTGCTGTTCCCTCTGCCTCTAACACGTTTCCTTGATATCAGCAAAGCTCACTTAATTGCCTCCAAGTCTTTGCCCGGATAATTCTTCCAGGAGCACCCTGGCCTCCCTACTACTCCACTCTGCCCCTCAGCCCTCTCCCCCTCACCTTGCCCTGTTTTTCCCATGGTGCTCATCACTTCTGGCACCCCATATAACTGGCTTTGCATTACGCCATTGATCTATTTATGTGTTTACTACTACTATGTTGTTGTGATATGTTGAATAGTAATAATTTTAAACTGAATATCAAGTTATTGTTGTGTTTATTGTTTGGCCTCCATGAAGGCAGGGCTTTTTTGTTTATTCATTGTTGTATCCACTGAGTCTAAAACAGTGACCACCACATAGTAGGACCTCAATAATGAATGAATAAATGAATGAGTGAATAATATGTGAACTACCCTGATAGACAGCTACATGTCAAACACATGCTGGACCTATGAGGGAAATAGTACCCAATGGCGAAGAAACTAACATGTGAAATTCGTATGTGGACATGCAGCTGACACAAGGTGGGGACATGTGACCCACCATGGCAGGCACTGGACCAAATGTGACAAGCCTTGAAGGGACGTGCAATGCACACGTAGACACACGTAAACCAAGTGACAGACAAGATGTAGAAGGTGTGTGATGGGGATGTGACAGCACAGGCTGAGCAAACTGAGGGACGTGCGATGGAGCGGGCAGTACGGGTAGCAAGCACAGGGAAAGAGGCTTGTCACTGCCCCGTAGATGTCACTGCTGGACCACTGGGGCCTTCCTCATTATAATGCAGAGGTATCTTTGCATAAACCGATGCCCCTTCCCAAACAAACAACTTTCGCTCTGCCTAAAAAATGCAGAATTTTTTTCCAGAAATATGCTTATGTCTGGACTGTCTCCCCAGAATTCAGGGAGACTTAATTTTTTATTTTTTGCCCTGGGCCCCTTTGGCAATCTGGTGAAGTCCATGGACCCCTTCTCAGAATAATGCATAAATGTACATTAAATGTATAAAATTAAAGGCATTGGAACAAAGGAAATAAATTGTATTAAAATGCAATAATCAGAGGGGAAGATATAGCTCAGTAGTCGAGTGCATGCTTAGCCTGCATGAGGTCCTGGGTTCAATTCCCAGTGCCTCCATTAAAAAATAAATAAATCAATAAACCTAATTACCTCCCCCCATTAAACAAACACTAAAAAAACCAATAATCAAAATATTCAGAAAAATTGTAATAAAATAATATATGAGCTTTTAAAATAAAAATACTAGGTAATGAGATAGTGAATCTAATAACTAACCTAATTTTAAGGTAGTTCCAGGTGTGAATGATATTTCAAGATTCTTGCAATGACTTTGAGGTAACATACAACATCTGTGGTTTCAATGTGACAAACCCACAGGTACCGATATTGCCATGGCTTGTCCCCTACCTTCGTAATTAAGGAAAAGCCAACTTTCAG